AGTCCTTCCCCCTTTTTTGAATTATGTTTGGGTTTTTGTTTTGTTTTATTTTGTTTTTGCTGTAGAGGTTTAGGAGTGTATATACTAGATATTACTCCTTTATCAGATATATGATTTGCAAATATTTTCTCCCATTCTGTGGGTTGCCTTTTAAAATTTTTTTAGTTTTAAAATTTTCATGAAGTCCAATTTGCCTATATTTTTCTTTTGTTACCTGTGCCTTTAAAGTTACCAGTGAAGGAAATTTTAAACCAGTTAACTCATGGTACATTCAATATTGTTGTAGATTTTCTGTTTTCAAAAACAGGCAAACCAAGATTTCTTTTTCACGTGGAAAACACGATGGGATAAAAAAAACCTCAACGCTATCACCCTGCCTGAAGAAACACTACCAGGCTGTATTAATCGATGAGAATTTATTTGCCTTCTTTTCCAATGCAGTCACTACAACAGTCTCTGTGGTTATAATAAATTTTATACATTTATAAGAAAAATACAAAAATGTAATTTACTAGTGATGGCCTCTTTTATGTCACAAGCACTTCTGATTTTTCATATAAAAAGGAGTTATATGTAAAAGGAGACCTTAAATGGAACAATTCACTCAGAGTTGATTTTAAACCAAATATTGTCAAATTTTTCAAAACCAAAAATCATATAAATGCTGAGGTCAAGGACTTCTGCCCAAAATTTGTTCCACTCCATGCCTGTGACATCATTTTACAAATTAGATAAAATGGAAATGAGATGAAATAGACAAATTCAGAAAAGATAGAATTCACTAGTGTTTTTGAATATGTGGCAAGGCAATTTGCCTTTTGCGGGATGAAAATATTAATTACACATTTTTAAAAATCGCGAGTGTTTTGCATCTCCCAAGAGTCCAGAAAGTCTTTCATATTTCTTAATTACTAAATATCTGTTCAGCCGCACAGCTTTCTTTCTCATTGCTTCTGTTTCATCCAGGGTCATCTTTGCGATTTCCTCTGAAGAAGACTATACATTAACATACAAGGTTTGGGGGGTTGGGGAAGAAGAGAAAGGTGTTAATTCAGATGTTATGAAACTGTGATAATGCTATTATTTAAGGCACTTATTTGGGTCTGTTTATACTTTGTAGTTTTATAAATAAGCCCAAGGGGCTCCTCCTGGTTGTCACAATCCTCCTTGAATCTCGTATCCTGTCTGTCTCTTCCTATCCGACAGTAGAATTGATGCCGCTCTAATCCCTGGAAGTTTGGAACTAATGAACTGACTGCTGAGCTGCCGCCACGGAGCTTGGTCCCAAACTATACTGTACTTCACACTCGATTTATTCTCCAGATGGCGAGACTGTGCCGCCCTGCCGCGAGGGACCACCTCTTCCACTGGAGTGTAAAAGTGGACGGATGTTGTTTTCTTTGCAGATTTGATCATTCTGAGCTAGAAACTTGTGAAGATGATTAGTTATTAGCTTTAATGGGTGCCAGTTGAACCAACTGCACGCATATTTTCTCCTTTGATTTCGGAGTCTGCAGGTCTTGGTGATGGTTGATTTATCTGCTTTCTTACGTCACCGGAGCGTGTCTCTTCCCCAGGTGATAAGAATCCAGTCTCTGAAATCATAGCACGCTTTGGTTCCTGGCCCAGACAGAGTCACATAATACGGTGGCTTATGTATAAGGACAAGTTTATTAGCCACCGGTCCACTGCACTGAGCAGCCCATGGCACGAAATATTGATCGAACGTGAGAACTTTGGTACCTCTTAGAACACAGGTCTGTGAAGATTCTGATCTGGGCCAACTTTCTCCGTGACCTTTGCTGAGCCCACCTCTGGAATCAAACCCACTACAGAACGCACTATAGTAATGAGTCTCTGCAAAGATCTAATGTAACTTGATAAAGGCCTTACTTCCATTATTCTGTCTTTTCTAGGTTGTCAGATCTTAGGGGAACCAGTTTATTCTCCGGGAGGAACGCTAACCAAGCCCGTTCTGCAGCGTTCGCACATTTAGAATACGGTTCCTTCTAAATCTTGTTTTGAAAACTCTGTTTTGCTACCAGAATGTAAGATACACCCTACACTCACACACACACACACAAAAGTCTTGTTTTGAATGGCCCCTTGTTGCTTTCGTTTGATTTTCCCTCCTTTTCCAGGGAGCACCTACTTCCCAATAATCTCAGCAGATCACCCAGATAGCCTTCTGAGAAGATGGTGTCTGCCAGGCAGTGTCTTACGAATCCCTCTAACAAGATGGAAATTAAAGGATGGTCAGGGCCAAACAAGAGCCAAAGAAAAAGAGAAAAAGGGAATGAAAGTATGAAAGGATGGAGATGAGAGAAATGCTAGCAAGAAGTAAGGCGTGTGTTAGAGTGAGGGGAGGAAGAGAGAACGGAATTTCTTTTCACAACTGGGTGGACTGTGGCTCTCTCTAGCTGAACATCCAGAACTAAACTTAATTATTCTTAGAAACTGCCTTGCTCTCACCCAACAGATGGCATGGGTGTGTTTGCTAGCATAGTAACATATTTCACCATTAAAATACCAAAAAGAAAAAAAATCGTGCTCGTTGGTTGGTGTAAATTCAGTGAAGTTGCTGGATATTTTAGGATACATAGCAAAGGGATGTACACTTAATTTATGTAAATTGCAACAAGCAACAGCCTGTTAATAAGGGCGTTATGTGGCAATATACCTACAAAGCCGTCTTTTTTTTTTTTTTTTGTAAAGGTACGGAATCATGAAGTGGAAAGAGCTTGGTTTTAATTGTGAGCCAGAAGGAGGAAAAAAAGTCTAATAAAATACTGAGTATTCACTGCTCATTATTACAACATGAAAAGTACTAATCAGATTATACCTACAGTTGGAATTAGGTACTTCATTTGCAGCCAATTTCACAAGGGCTGAATTTTACTAAGTAAACCGGAATGTGCTGAAACCATGGCAATCTGACTTTAGATAAAAATCACAGGCAGGTTTAGAACATGAGCTTTGAACAAACAGTCCCCTTCAAATCCAAGTGAAACAACAAAACAGCTTAGAGGTCACATTGTATCTGACACCAACATTAACAATTTAGGAAGTCGATGTTGCCAGTGATCTTGCGTCTTTGAGCACACATGCAGTTTAGAGAAGGGAGATGATTCAAATAACTTTCGTTTTAATATGCATGTCAGCCCGAACGATCTAGTTAGTTCCCTTCCATTTTCCATTCACTCTCTGTCCCAACAGGCCCTTCACAAGCCCGACCTACACTGAAAGAAATCCTGGAAGTTCAAATGGTTACAAGCTGCAGCAATCCTAAATTTGTAGCTGTGCAGGCTACATGGAGCATAACACATTTTAGGTTCTCTGAGGCCATGGATCTAAATATACACACTGCCAACAAGCCGGAAGCATTTCTCTCAACAGCTCTCGACAACCTTAGAACCGTGATATGGAGCTAACGTCTGCTTTTCACCTTCAGGATTTTTTGTATTTAGTGGATGTAACAAGAGGGGATGGTAGAGCAGTGGATGAGTTTTACGGCTGTGGAACGGCCCACGGCATGCTGTGGTGCCAAGCCACTGTTGGCTTCACCATCCCTCACTTTAACTAGTGTGAGCGCTCTCTTGCTTTTATCTAAGCTTGGCCTAATTATTGGCAGTCAGAGCCCTGTAAATCAGGATTCCACAGAGCTGTCTTAAACTAGTCCGATGTACTCTGTTTCCATCTGATCTGACAACTCTAAGCTACTGTTTCCTCACACTGTTTAACTCAGACCACATTTGGAAGCCTTCCCTGCTTCCACCAGGTCGTAGACCCACATCCGTCTGGTTTAAATCTACTGTCCTGGCTTGTCTTGTTGATTAGACTTAGACTCAATATTGGTTCAAATCATTCTTTTTTGTGCGTCTGTTTTGTTTTGCTATTTTCCTAGATAAGTATTGCTGTTCAAATGGCTGTATATTGTTAAGACTTTTTTTTTTAAACCACATTCATCAGCAGTGAGAAGCTTTAAAGTTTTATTAGTATCATAAAAACCCTTCCTAAATGAAACTACTTTTGATACGTGTTCATTCTGACAATGAGAATTTGTTGAGGGCTGTGGGAAAAGTGGAGGAATTTGTTCTTGAAACTGAAATTGGCAGGAAGTAATGACCCCAAAGTGCCTTTTTTCTCAACTCCGACTCCCAGCCCCTCAGTTTACTCCTTTCTCTCCCCAATCCCTCACCTTCATCACCCCCAACTCAAAGCCAATAGATAACGTATTTGGTTTCATGTGATTTTTCTGAAGACAATTCAAATAACTAAAGCAGACATTCAACCTTTCAGCTTTTCTTAACTGGAGCAAAGACTATCTAATCAAAGAACAAAGTTGTATTTGTCTACCACTTTACGAAGGGGTTTCTTGTGGTATTATTGCTTTCCATTTGAGTAAGTCAGAGCTTTTTTATAGTGTGGAGCGTCATTTTCCGGAGCACCTTTTAATTGAATGTCAAGATTCATGTCACTTACAAAAAAATAAATATTTTCAAAAAGCAAGTAAAAAGCATAAAGCACGTGGAAAAACAAAATAAATTCTTATTTTTTCCCTAATGTTAATACGTTGGCAGATAATTATCTATATATTATCTAGCTTCTTATATTTATTACATGAAAAATAGCGAGCAGAGGACTTAGAACCATGCCTAGTACTTCGTAAATGGTCAATAAATGTTGCCTATTAATTATTTTATTTTTGCATTTGGAAAGTAATGCTAATGAGCAAGATAACGCCACTGTTTAGAAGTATGCCAGTATGCGTTACAGTGGCCATCATCTCTGTTATCTTGAGTGAAGTCTGGAAATCAGTGCTTACCTATCAGCTCGGATGACTTATTTCAAATATCATTTTATTTGGTGGAGAGGAAATTTGTGGATATAGTAATGGTGCTCAGACTCTGAATCCACAAAACAGTTTCACAGGATGGTTCGACTGTGTTTCCTTTCAATGATAAATAAACTTAGGAGATACATTTTACCTCTACTTACAGAATGAAGCTCGATTAAGAATAGTAAAAACTCTCGAAGATTTTGACCTGGGCCCAACTGAGAAGTGTGTGAGAGTCAACTCGGTGTCCAGTGGTCTGGCTGAAGAAGACCTGGCGACCCTCCTGATGTCCCGAGTGCTCCCTTCCAGCCTAATGCTCCCGAAGGTGGAAGGCCCTGAGGAAATCCAGTGGGTGAGTAGCTAATGCTTTGCTTTAATTAAAGACTCGGGACCGACTAAGAAGGAGCAGCAGAGAGGAAGGATTTGGGTGCTGCCGGTTGCGAAAATGCATACGCAGAGCAGAAAGGGAATTTAGAAAAAGGATTGAGTCCAGAAGACCATATTCTTCACACAAGGAGAACCTGGCTTTGCCCAAAGTCTTCTATGGAACAATTCTACTCTTGAAATGATACTTCTGCTCTGTAACCAGATTCATGGTTTGCACAGAACAGCCTCCTCAATAAGACTTACAGAGCGGTCCTTGGAAACTAGCTTGTGTTGGATCATATCTTACACCCTGCCTGCCAGGCCCTAACCCTCCGCCCAGGAGAGCAGCGATGTAAATAGCTCTTGCCCAGATTCATTGGAGGACATCATAGACAACGAAAGCACATTAGCCGCAAATGAAAAAATGAACCTAGAGGACCGAGAAGTAAAGGTCACTCCTTGGGGCAAACAGAGGAATAAACAGGAAGCTTTTAACTAGTGGTTTTAATTAGCACAGATATTATTTCCTGAACAGTTCTCTAGTTCGTCCTTTTTAAATTGCTGACAGGTGTGTTTGTGTTTCACGACAGACTTTTCAGCCAATAAAAACCTGGCATGTCAAATTACTCACGAAAACTTTGAAATGGGCCTAATTATACTATGATTGTTTTCATTGTTAAAGTGGGGGGAGGTGAGATTTTATTTAGGGGTTGCTCTGCTGAATAAAATAACATTCCATTGTGCCACTGTAAGGCAGAAAGCCTGTGACACGTAGATGCTGGCAGCGTGGTAAAGGCGTGTGGACAGTGGTGATTTTGATGCCACATCTAGGATTATCTCTGAGACTGTGGCTACAGCCGTAGCAATATGCTGAGTAGTTATAGCACCTGAGGGCACCGCTCACCTTTCTAATGCACGTAGAGACACTGGGCCTGTGCTTTCCAGTGCCGTGGCTGCCTGCCACATGTGGCTACTGAGCACTTGAAATGTGGCAAGTCCAAAATGAGATGTGCCAGAAGTGTAAAATACACGTGGGATTTTGAAGACTTCATAGCACCGCCCCCCCCCAAAAAAAGAAGAATGTAAATTATCTCATTAATTTTTATACTGATTACATGTCGAAATGGTAATATTTTGGATATATTGGGTTGAGTAAACACTGAAGTTAAATTCACCTGTTTCATTTTATTCTTTTATTGTGGCTACTGGAAAATACAGAATTACCTACGTAGCTGCCATCATTTTTCTATTGGACAGCTCCCTCCTGGCTCCTTCTTGAAGCCCGTGTTCAAGGTTCCACATTTACTTTCTAAACTGGAGTTCTCCTCGGAGATCATCCCTCAGAGGCTAGGAGATACTGGTTTTACTAGGTTAATGTCTTCGAGTGCTCCTACCCCATTCAAATGTGTCTTAAGTTGATTGAAATGAAATCCGAAGTCACTGTTCCCTTTTGGTTTCATAGTTAATGCCTATTTATCACCGTTATTACCCTCATTTGGGAGGACCCACTCCAGCCTTGAGCTACGGCTTCTGTTCGCTGTTTTAAATCCCTGGATGTGAGTAACATACCGAAATCTAAATAGGATTTCTAGTTAACAGAAGTCTTTTGGGCTGTTTATTTTTTCCTCTCCGTTTGTATTTATGTGAAGCATAAAACCCAGAGCCTGATGCACAACTGAAAGATGGGCTTCCTTGTTTTCTTTTGTGTGAGAATCTCTTGCTGGCCTTTTGTCGCTAGTGTGGGTTCTTGTTTGACTGGCACGGCTTATTGGACTATAACAAGCATGACTCTGCCTCCTTTGTCGTGGGACAATTCTCCCACAAATCCCGAACAGTGTGCATTCTTCCAACACACTATTGGGTGTGCACTGGAATTGAAAGAATCGCTGAGCCCTGCTACTTCATCTCCTCCCCAATCTCTTTGTGATTTTTTTCCCCTTCTTTTCCTCCCCCTAACCCCCCAGTCCCCTCCACCTCACTGAAATGAACACTTTACCAGGCCGGAAACATTTAATCGTCTCCTTTTGAAAAAATTAATTGAAACTTCTCCACTAGTTACCTTTTGTGTTAGTGCTTAATGCAATTTTTTAAGAAAGAAGGGGAGGAGGAGAAGGAGGATGGGCTAGAATATTTAATTTTTAAATGCCTCTATGGCTTAAAAACAAAAGGCGTTAGAAAATTTTCTCACTAAGAACAAGGAATATATTGTAAAGCGTTTACCTGGTTTTAAACTTTATGATTTTTTGTTGTTATAACTATTATCACAAAGAATGGGGCAAGTAACGTTGCAAGTTTTTTTTAATGAGAAAAAGAATTCCTCCGCTGCATATGTAACACCAAAGCCACTGACATTTCGCTACCTACTTTCTAGCTTAAATGTGACATGAATTATGTTTTATTTTCATTTACATGGAATAGTATACATTTTGTCCCCTTAAATTGTAGCCTTCTTTCTTGCTATTTTGGTTGAGTTATTCCTTCCCTTGCAAAGTTACTAAGGAGGTGATGATGATGGTGTCGGAGGAAGGGAGGGGGCAGTGGGAGCAACTGGGAATAATTCTTCATTACTGAAAGCTGTGATTTATTTTAGCCTAATTGTAAAGTTACTGCAAATTGCTCAAAAGCTTTTTAAAGATCCCGGTGATTAGATTTTTTAGGGGGGGTGCTACACAGGCAAGGAGGGGGCAGCTAAAAGGGGAAATAACACCTCTAATCCTGCTTCTGGTAAATAGGCTGCTAGCTTTTAAAATGAGTTTCCTTTCTATTAGTCAGAATATTATGCTAAGCCTTAAGCATTAGTTTTTTTATGTTGCCATAGCAGCCCTATTCCTGCAGGGTGGTGACCTGCGATGATTACAGTACAAAGCTTATAGGGTCTTGAAACCCCCTTTGAAGATGAAAAGTCTTTGATGGTTTATATTTATGCAAATCTCTTAGATATGATTTACCCAACTGAGACTGAATGGAGAGATGATTAAAAGTCCCTTTTCCTTTGATATCCATTAATGGCTGAATATTCCTTAAATTTAAAATGGATATATATGTTTTCATCTTTATTTACAAAAATATCTTTGTCTTACCTGTGTGGTTTTTTTTTTTTAATCTCCCCACATTTTATTAGATCTAGATAGACATAATAGATTTACAATTTAGAGTATGGTGGGGTTTTTTTCCTTTTGAAAAGGGGGGGGAAGGATCTGTGCAAGAGCTTTTGTATGTTTCCAGATGATAGATTTTGGAATTTGGGCTACCCCACTGGCAGCCCAGAGCTAGCTGTGAACTGGTCTCATGGAAAAAATTGGTGAGCTTTGGTCTTCAAAGAATTAAACTTCCTTTTTAAGGTCTTCCTAGGTAAGCTAAAAAATTATGAAGAAAACCCTTCTGAACAAAGGGTAATGGTGCTATAATGAATAATATGGATTCCATGTAGAAGGCTGCTGAAAATACACTGATGTCAGTGCTGGGTATGAAACAAAAACAGAATGGCAGGTAGGGCAAGGCTGCATTGTTTTAGGGGCCTACCACTTGCATTTTAAGAGTGAGGGCGAGAGGTCTTAAGTAAATACGTTTTCAAGGAAAGCATTTAATCTTCAAGAATCTCTCCTTCCAGTTCTAACTCCTAGGCCTCAAATTGCTCCTTTGGAAGGGGGGGGGAACTTATAATGCTTGGGGTTTTACTATTTAGTTTGGCAGAAACTTGGTTACCTTTTTTCTTTGGTCTTTTTTTTTTTTTTTTAATTCTTTTGTGTGGACGAAAGAGACTGTGTGATATTACTTCCTCAGGTCAAAGACTTAAATACGACTTCTACGTCTGCATTTGAATGATTGTACATTTTTCCTCCACTAATCACCTATGACACTTTTGATTTTAGTTTTCAGACAAATTTTCGTTCTACTTAAAAGGCCGAAAACTTGAACAACCTATGAATTTAATCCCTTTTGTGGAAACTGCAATGGGTTTGCTCAATTTTAAGGTAAGAAAACCATAATATGGCTGAGAAGTTAGTATTCATTTCTAAAGAGAACTTTTGTTTTCGATTTTAACATCTACTTAAAATATTTTTCTAGAGAGATTTATAAGGATAGTAAACCTTGAGCACAATTTATTATCTGTAATTATCCAAAACCAGGTCATGAGCATCTTAGAAAACAAAGAAATTGGCTAAATAGCAGGGGAAAACTTCCCAGTCCTAAATATTTAAATGAAATATTTATAGATTCCTAGCAATAATTTTAATTAAATAATCACTATGTAAATATATGCTTTTAATTGTTACATTTATAGATTAAATGTGCATGAAAATTTATTTTGTCACCCTTATGAATTATCTTTCAACTATTCTTTTGTAACAATTGCCTTTTATTGGGAAATTTTCTGGCCTCTTTGTAGCAACATTATCCATAATGTCTTGGTGATAAGATTACTGTTTGTTAGTATATATCAATAATTTGAAGTATATTTCAGTTGACCACATGAGAAGATAAAATATTTCCAAATATACATTCAGGAAGATTAGCTGAGCTAAGTGTTTTCCAGCATCGCATGGCTGCATTGAACTGTTTGCCTTAACAAATTCATAGCTAGCTTGTAAAAAATCCCTTTATCAGTGGTCATTTAAATTGTTTTCCAAAATATGCCTCACATTCCACCTGACTTGTGAACATTAATGTAGCACCCCATCTCAGAGGGCAGGAGAGAAGAAATCTCTAAAAGCAAAACGAAACAAAAAGATAGTTGAATTGTGCTGGAGAGGTAATATGTGAGCAAACGCTGGAGAGGAAACTTTGAGACCCATTGGATCACTCGGGAGGGGCAGAGTGCAAATGTTTGGGAAGCTGCTTCAGGCTCAGTGATCAAGGTTGTTTACACCAGTAACCACAAATTCTTCTAGCCCGCTCTAGAATTCTGGGAATATAATCAAAGTATATCCCTTCGGTGCAGCTAGAATCATATAATGATTCAATATTTAGCGTCGTTTCACCATTTCATTCCATAATGTACTTAGAAGCACTTACAAGCCCTGAGATTAATCAGCAGTACCCTCGCCCATTTCTCATGTCCCCCCCCCACACACACACACATTAGCATGCTGTATCTCCACCTTTATGGATGCAGCTATGTCCACGATGAATGTTGTTCATCTTTACTTCACACAGAAATATCCAAGTTGCTTATTAGTACATCTTGGATGACTTGTTGCATTTTTGTTTTCCTCTCCGAGATTGTAGATTTTTGTATTGTATGTCTTGAATCCTAAAACCATTTACCGAGAAATTTTGATCCTAATGCAAATAATCCAATTAGTTTGATTTAAAAATTCTTTCCTTCTCTCCTGTGGCTTTATGTTTACTGTTTGAGAGTCTCTTAAAGCAAAAACAAATTTTGGAAAAATACAAATAATTTATAGTACAATCAGAATGAGTTAACTCAAAGTTTTTCTCTAGGAATTGGATGACCTACAATTTGAACATTATCACTATATTAATATATGTTAACAACTATATTAATGTAATCCATTAAGCAAAGCAGATATATACAACATACTTATCTTGGACAATATTAAATACCTTTCGAGAGGGGTACATTTGGGCTGCATTTTTAGGACTGCTTTCAGCCAAACTGTGTTAAGAGTTGGATCTTTCTGTTACCGAAATATACTATGCTGCTTCTAATTTGTGCATTTCTGTGAGATTTGGTTCTCTTTTGCTCTTTTACAGGCAGTGTGTGAAGAAGCAGTAAAGACAGGTCCTCGAGTGGGTCTTTTTCTAGATGCAGTTGTTTTCGGAGGAGAAGACTTTCGAGCCAGCATAGGTGTCAAAGACTCTTTCTCTCCTCCTCCCTCTCCGTCTCTCATTTCTTTCTGTGTATATGTGTACATATTTTTTCTTTGCCCCTTCATGAGCGGACATTTACATGACAACAATCATTTGCCAACAATGACAATGGTGTTTCAGGTGAATGGACAACACTTTCTGATAAGTTAGGACACCTCATAGTTGTCCTGCTTCCAGAACACGACATTACTGCTTCTGTTCATTTATAAAGTAATTAATAAAAAGCCTGTTCCAGCCTCAGATGTGTTCAGGAATATATGGCATCTACTTTGTCCATAATAAGTATATCATGCGAACAACCTCTCTGTTGTTTAAATATTTTGTTTTTGCTCCAGTCTCAGGGCTATCTAGCCTTCTAACACAAATTTAAAGCAATTCCACATTTGCTTTAAGGAACAATTTTCTACATTAAATGAAGTATATTAAATATTATTTAAAATAGATCTTAAATTCCTCCTAAAATATATTTCAGAACTTTTCTTATTACAAAATATTTATCGAGATAGTATGCTTGTTCTCACTGGTCTTGCCTGCCCTGCAGGCACGATCCCTCCATTCTGGGTGCATGTATAACTAGAGACTGTGGGTGACTAGAGACTATGGGTGCATCTAGAAAAGAGGACCAGGCCATGTGTGTTTCAGAACCCCAGTCCCAGTGACCTGAAGACAGGAACTTTCTCTGGGCAAATATAAACAGACACTCCCCCGGGGTGAAAAAAAAGGGACTTATTTTAATACCAGTCTTTCCAGGAGACTTTTGTGTCTCCAACAGCTTAGTGGACACTTTCTGCCTCTGTCAAAACGAGTGCCCTTTCGTTTTCCCAAGTTCTCCATCCAAACCCTGAAGCTGCAGTATTTGGCTCAGCATCTCAGTTATAACAGGGCATTGCAACCACAGCACACGAAATTCTGTGCTCCGTGAGAGAAGTTAACCATTTCCTTGCACAGCTGCTTGGCCAACTTTTGTGATGCTACCTTTGGAGTGACACTTTCCAAGTGATGACCAGAAGGAAAAACGTACCAGAAGTTATTTGCAACCTATCAAGTCATTGGCGATTCTATCTCCTGACAGGGAGAGGGGCCTTTTCTTAACGCAGCACAAGTAATTATACTGAAAGATGCCTTGCGAGTGACACATATGAGCTTTAACTCTGCCTCCACGTATCCCTCTCTTCATTTATATTTGAATCGTCATTTCGGATGAATGGGGAACACTTCGTGTTTTATATATAAATCACTGGGGAGCCATTCCCAGGAAGACATAGAAATCTCTACAGACTGAGTTTTTATAATAGATGTGTGGGTTCAGTTTCTGAAGTTAACATCTCCTTTTTCTGTCAACATCCCATCCTCAGGTGCAACAAGTAGTAAAGAAACCCAAGATATTTTCTACGCCCGGCAAAAGATTGTCGTTGTAGCGAAGGCCTTTGGTCTGCAGGCCATAGATCTGGTGTACATCGACTTTCGAGATGGAGAGGGGCTTCTCAGGCAGTCGAGAGAAGGAGCTGCGATGGGATTTACTGGTATGATTCTTGATGACATCTCAGAAAGCAGTGTCTAGATTCGCGAACATTCCAGAAAAATAGAAATTTAACCAGAAATTAGTGTTCCTAATGTAGCCAGGTAGCTCGTATACTTATTCCATTATTTAAAACATGAGAGAAATCCATCCACAGCAAGAACCTACCGAACAAATTGTCAGGTTTTTCTTTGGCTCTGCAAGGCAACAGACTAAGCACTCATTTTATTTTTTTATATTAGTGACCATTTTTTTCTGTCCTCTTAAGTGTTTTGTTGCAGTTTTTGCTGACACGAGGAGAGAGATGAGGGTGTTACTGAAATGTTTTTGAGTGAACTGCCATAAGCATTTGGGCTGACGGGTAGAAGAAACATTTCCTCAAATAATCAAAATATTAATTCATTTCTGAAAAAAATTTTGGTGATATCTTTTTTGACTTTTTTTCACTCATAACTGGATTTTTATTCTTCTGACACTGTAAGCCCCTCCTTTCTCTCCCACCTCCCAGTAAGTGTCTCTGCACCTGGCGACACCTACGGGCATTGGCTGGCACTAAGATCAGCGGGTCCCTCGTAATCCGGTCCTGGAGCGAGAGCGGATATCTGTTGATTGGTGTGCCCGATCACTCAGGTCCCCAGGAGCCCCGGGAGCAACTGAAAATTGTGTTTTTGCAACAGAAATCTATTTTTGAGAAACCACAATAGGATTCTATACCCAAACACGTGTCTGCAGTTGCACGCACACGCATTCACATACACGCAACCATGGATTAAAAAAACACTATACTTTTATTATTTGTTCTTCTGCTGCAAGTTCTAAGAATATCCTGATCAGAAATGTACCAAAATAATAAGGAAAAGATACCAGCATCCATGCTATATCCCTTTTGTACATATATTTGAAATGTGTCCAGTTAGGAGTTACCAAAAGAAACATTTCATAAGGTGCCTGACTTTAAATGTAGAAGGTATCTTAATGGATGATGATTTAACCCAAAATAAAATTAAAAGACTTAAGAAACAGTTTTAAATATTATATTAGAATTAAATAAAGCTCTGACATTTTATTTTGCGTTTTAACATAGAGTTAAAACGTGACCCCACAAATTTGTTTTATATGTAAATAAGTACATAAATGTGATCTCTTATAGGGAAATATTTTTTAATTGATTTGAAATAACTTGCCTTCTGTGATGGTATTAGCGACCAATTGAACTATTAATATTTTTTTACTTAAAAATGACTGAGAAAGAAAGAGTCTCTCTACCTAAGCCCTCGGGTTATCCTCGTCCCCGTGACCTGTTAAACCTGCCTGTTTCCAACGACTGGTTAGGACACAGACCAAATAGAAAAGTTGGAGGAAAATTTCATGAAATCTGTCTAATAAACCCCGATGTCGTTGGTCTAAAATGTGTGGCATTGGTTGCCAAGCAGCCAGATGTTGTTCTGAAATGGGCACTAATGCAATAAAAATAGAAAACAATGAATTGATGTGGGCCTCTGTCGCCATCGCTCAGTAGAACCTGGGCGTCCTCAGCTTCCTCTGGGGTAAAGGTTTGTTCCAGAACTTATAAAGGAGTTTGAGAATTTCTCCAAGATGCAGGGCTGAATTAAATTGGTCCCTAATTCAATCGCAGAAGACAAGTTATTTCGAATCAGATTTAAATTTCGAGACTGTGCCCAACTCAGCATGAGGAGCTTATGGGCTTGGCACTATTGTTTCTCAACAACAGGGAGTATTAAATCACACACACAAAAAAAATGGAAGGGGGGAATGGGGAGGCACAGAGGGTACAGTGCCCATTATATATTCAAGTGAACAAGTCAGTAAAGTAGGGGGCTATACTTTATAGCCATTTTCCAGTTTTTAGAAAGAAAGTCTTTGTTGTCCCAATTATATATCTACATGTCAATAAAAGGTAATTTGTCTGATAAGATATGAGATTATTTGTATTATTTTTAAACAATAAATGATTTAAGGAGTATGTTAGGCCACTCATGATCTGTTTGTCCTAATTATTTGTCATTTAATTGCCATACCTTGGTCTTTGCACATGAAGAAAAGAGAAGGAGGGAAGGAAAGGAGGGAGGGAGGGAGGAAGGGAAGGAGGGAGGGAGGGAAAGAAGGAAGAGAAGGAAAGGAAGAAGAGATACACATCCTATCTGAAGCAGGTAGTTGAAAGGCTTAAAAGCTAATGAAAGTATTGTGTTATCCATAACACTGATAAGAAACAATCTATGTTATGAGGATTTTCTGTATTTTTAAAAATTATATATATATATTTTTTTAATGAGTTGTAGTTTTTTAAAAGTTAGCCATTCATCAAACAATGAGTTATAGTTTCTTTTCTGCAGTCATTGTTTCACAGAGCCACAATCCATGCAGATAAAATTTAAATCGATTTGTTAGCTATATAAATGGCTATTAACTTTAGGAATTATTTTTATAAAAAGAAACCAGAAATATGTCTTGGAATAAAGCTTTAACAGCTGACTTGGTCATCACAGTTACTCCAGTACTACATGCTGAGAAGAAAGATTATAAATATGAAGCACTATAGGTTTTCTTCTTTTTTTGCAGTCTTTTGTAGAAGACAAAAATGACACCATCATACAGTTACCTAAAAGACTTGACAGGTATTGATTTAAAGCACGATATATCAAGTGGTACTGTAAAAAGGATTTCATGGTCATAAATTTTAATGTCTTCCAATTTTGCACTCTCTCAGTAACTTGTCAATAACAACTCTTCTGTATAAAATATTTGTTTCACTTCCACATGGCATTAAAGTCGGATGTACAGTCATTGGGATATATAAAATTTGACAGAAGATAACTTCACATATGTATGTTCATAAATTTCTAAAACCTAACATGTATCTTAAAATTACCCAAATGTGGGTACTTGCAAGCCATCAGTGGTTTCACAGTATTTTAAATAGTTTGTTTTGCTCCTCAAATCATAGTGTCTGTACCAAGAAGTTCCCATGAAATCCGGCTTTTTACTTGTCAGTGTAAATTATGTACATAAATTATAAAATTCAGGACTAACAATTAGTATAAAATGACTACCAGAACTGACATCCTTTATTAATAATATTGTAACAACTATTGGATTACTTAAATATAATTTCAATTCCTACTATTGAAAACAGCTCTCATTTGTCATCGCTGATGTTATTTGTTCCCAGAAATTACTCCTCAAATTTAAAGCATCTTATTTATACAGGGTTTTAATGTTTTATTAGTATGCTGACAGATAAGAATGGAATAGCCATGTGAGGGTGTTTTAATTATGCCACCATAAGAAAAGATATTACTATATTTTTTCACTTAAACTCATTTTCATGAAATACTAAAAAAATTTTTTTACATTCTTCTTTTTTATTTGATAGAATAATGACAGTAAAAGCAATTCACCTTTTCTCAAAACATCAAGAATATTATTTGTACAGGCTAAATGTTAAAACAACTATTTCAAAAGCAAAGCAAATTGGAATACCAACAAATATATTTAGCAGAATAAATTATCGTTTAGTGTGCATTCATTTTTAAAGAACCAAATATGTCCATAATTTTATCATGTAATAAAATATGATATCATTATTAGGACATTGTTTCACTTCATTAATGATCTGATTAGATTCCACTCTTCCCTGATTGTTAAACTGTTTTTTTAAAGACTGCATGATTTCGTAGAATCCCGTGTCTCCTATCTTTGTATAATATTTTTATTTAAGATTCTTAAACTTCAGAAAGAAGTATAAAGCTTTATTAAAGCTATTACTACAGAGAAGATTTCATCTGGGATGTCTAATTAGCTATATAAAAGGGATTTTCTTTATTCCATAAGAAAAAAGGGAAAAATTTGGTTATGTTTTAAGATAGAGAAACTTTCTGTAATTTTTATTTAAACATTTTTAAATGGAGTAATTTAGAGACCACAGTGTTCAAATCTGCCTTATATTTTACTGTACCAAATAAAATTTTTCATTGAAATCAAATTTTCTGTTAGTGATTAGATATGACATACTATATTTACCTAAAAGAAAGAAAATGAAATATATTATTATAAGACTATTTGTTATTAATATAGTTGTGATGTCGGTTTCTGTAAGCTTTTTGAAAGCTAATAGACTACTTCTAAAAAATTATAGAAGGTGAGATAATGGTACAAAATAAGCCAAAGGTAACATAAAATTTGAAAGAATTAACATACAATTTTTCTTCTGCTTTACCTCAAAATAATCACTCTAATTTGCAGACAATATCCTTTAAAGTACCAGCCAAAACAGTTTATTCAACGAGCTGCCTAGTCAACCCACCTGTAACTAAAAATGAGAGATTATCTGCACCAAGGTGGTATTTCTATAGGATCGGAAACACAATCACTTCCATTGTTGTATTTGTCCTTATGTGGCATTCTGGAAAAGCCTGCCCGATTGCCGTTATTTTCTTTTTAAAATGTTCTAAAATAATGAGTTATTTTACATACAGTCTGTGAGGCATTCAGGAGCCTTGAGTGGCTGAGGCATTTTGTTTGAACATCTGTTTGTTGTTTTGTGTTTCCGGTGTTATTAATCTTCTTGTAGGTAAGCAGGTGATACACCCTAACCAAATTGCAGTCGTCCAGGAGCAGTTTTCTCCTTCTCCTGAAAAAATTAAGTGGGCTGAAGAACTGATTGCTGCCTTTAAAGAACATCAACAATTAGGAAAGGTAAATGTTTTGTTAGTGCCTTGGATGAAACTGGTGTTTCAAATGCTATGGGGAACAATGAAAACAATTATCGTTTGAATGATTTTTTAAAAAACTCCTATTTTTGTGAGGAGAGTTTGTATTGGGGGACAGTATTCATCAGTGAGAAATTCACTTAAGGTAAATCTGCCCTCCCATGTTCCTAAATATTTCACCAACTGGCTCTCAAGTCTCTCATTTTATTCTTTTCATAAACTATATTGGCAGCCTATGAGAAAATAGAAGTCTGTTTCGTTTTTCTCGATAGACTCTGATGTAGCATTCATATGAAAATAATTTTGGATCAAAGTGAGAGCAAGTTGTAATGAAATAAACACAGTTTGATCAAATGGTTCTTGTGGAGAGGAGAAATAAATCTCAAGTTATTTTAATTTGAGGGGGGAGTACAAAAATCTCCTTCAGTTTAGTCATTTAAGAGTGGGAGGCTGAATATGTGTTTGTACCAATTTCTGGACCTGAGATTTGGATAGAATGGAAAGCAAATTAACAGTGGAGTACGGTTGTTCCTAATTTAGTGCATCATTGAGCCTCGCGTTTCCTGCTCTGTGGGTTTCTGCTATGTAAATATTGCAGTGGTGATGCGCAATCTGTCTCCACTTTGTGCCAGTAACACTTAAATTAGGTGTCGCCTGAAGGAAGATTTTATGCTAGTTGCAGCATTGTCAGTTAATTATCTTAAAGGTTATTTGCAATAATATCGTGTGCCTCTTTTCGAGAGGATGGGGGTAAACTTGCATTTATAAATCCATCCTAGAGGTAATATCTAAACTCGGTCTTGTTACTTACATAAGGAGTGAGGTTTTGATACCTACAATGCAGACCTACTTAGGGGAGAAAGAATGTTGAAAAATTATTAAGGTTCTAAAGGTTAAATAGTCCCCCTTACCAAAAAAAAAAAAAAAAAAGGTCAAAACTGGTTTTCAGGGTGAACTGGTGACATAATGGCAGTGAAAACACCTGAAAATCCCAGGACTTCGCTCCCTTCTCCTCACTATGGATAGCTACCTTCAATTCTGACCATGCTCACCCTCACACGCACGCCCGCTCATCTTGGCACAAACTTGCACTTAAAATCAAAAGGCAGAATATGTAATATTGGAAACATCCCACTTGAACTTATACCACTTTCAGGATAAATAGCATTCTTTCATTTCAAATCAATATTACTCATCGGAAAAACATTGTGGTTCATAGAAAAATATTTTTAAGTTGACATTGTGTTTTATGTCTACTTCTGTATCTTGACCCAAAAATCCAGATCCTCAAACACAGACGCTTACCTAGAGAGAAGAGCCATGTACTTTTTCATTCACATATGCAAATAACTCCATCTACTCTACTCTCTTGCATGCTTGCCTGTGCACACACTCACTAAATGTTCGACACCTCTGTGTGTACCTCACGCCAGCTGAAGACTTGACTTGCCTGTGATAAATACTTCCTACTGATATAATAAACTGAAGCAGGACATGGACCATCAAAATGGCAGACCAAGCTGAGTCTCAGTCCGGGCCAACACTGGCTCCATTAACTGTCTACACTGGGTTTCACATTGTATAATATGTATCAAAGGATGCCACTGGACATTGTAAGCAGCTAGGGATATGGGAGAGGTCACCCTAAATTTCACTAGCCAGCAAATAAAATTCAAACTAGAAACACACTCTTTTACTGGCATTTAAGGTCTTGAATGAAGAAAAAGAGAAAAACAAACAAACAAAAATGCTTTTTCATCGTATCTTGTTGTTCTCAGGGAAAATCGTCTCAGTGTCCTTGCTTTTTGAGGATAGCAACTTAAATGTTAAATTCTGAGCTTTTTTTTTTTAAAGTAAGAAATACCCTCTCGTTGGGACGTAAGCTATCACAATGATGTGGCAGCTTTTCTTAACACAGAACTGCAGAAATTAGAGCAGAAGGGGGACTAACTATTAGCTCATTTCTTCCCTGCCCCATTCGTGTAGGTTTGTTTCCTACAGCAAATTCTCCTGGTGCTTTGTCCAGCAAGGTTTAAATGATTCAAGTAATGGGGCTTCCAGTGGGGCCATATGGTTATTTTATCCAGTTTGCATGTTTCTTTTACTCTGCCTATAAATTGGCTGGTCACAAAAATTGGGTCTGCAGGTAGGTGACTCTGGGTCTTGAGGGGTCTTGGGGTTTAAATAATGTGAGTTCTGTTTGTAAAGATTTAGTATAAATAGGTTGCTCAGTTGTATAAAGTATTGCTTCCAACAAACATCTAATCTGTTTTATTTCAAATGTGAATCACTGATGAAAACATACACCCTCAGATACTTTCTTTGTCCGAAGCACAGGTGATTCTGTCAATGATGGGAAACTGATGGTTTGTGTCCTAGTGAGACAGTTATAAATTTCTAAAAGACACCCCCCATGAAAATTTCATTTAAGTTTTTAAGTAGAAATGACCGAAGAAGGCAAAATTATATATCTTTGTTTCTCTCCACTTACTGCTCCTATCTTAAATTACAGTCTGCCCTAACACCAAAGGTATAGCTGAAGTTCATAGTTAATGCTGGGTAATTGTGTCTTCAATAGTAATAATATTTATTATTGTTATATAGTTACCATAATTATTATTTTTTAAAAAAGTTCTACCTTTTCTTCCTGTCTTCTCCAAATAATGAAATTCAGGGGAATACTTAGATCATGAGTAAATAAATGATTGGGGTTCTGTCTTTGGTAGCAGATGAAATTTTTTGTTTGTTTTATTTTAATTGGAAATTGTAAGAAAATAAAGTTTGATGCCCTTAGTCTAATGTCAGGTGAAAATACTTTACATTAAAAAATAATAATGTGCTCATATAATCTGTCACTGTTTGACAGGTAATGATACTTGTGACTGCTTTGATTCAGGAAACTAAAGATATTTACAGGCCAAAGAATTCTGCCTGGTATAACAGTCCCCAATAATAAGAATTAGGCTATAGATTGACGTTAGAGACTGAGGTCAACTTCTCCTATTAAAATCTGTTGGAAAATGTTTAAACATTCCACATACTCTATGTTCCTATTTTAATTCCCATAAGCTAAAATATTTCTAATTTAGCTGACATCAGTTGTGAGGTATATATCTACAATATTAATCAAACTTGATTCTTTCTTCCATCCTTCCAGAAAAAGATATTTTGAGATGCAAGCTGTATGTCATTAATTATTTTAGCTTTGAATTATTTGATAAGATACTTTACCCAGGATAAATCACTTCCATGTGATTTATTTTAAATTTATAAAGGATTTTCTCAAAAGTTAATTTCATTTTTATGTCACTTTTTCATAATGTTGATTCCAATAATATCTGAAAATTCTCTTATCAACTGATTTTAAAATTGCTTATTAGAAAATATTTTTAACAGGCTTACAGTTGATATATTTCTTATCGACTAAATTGTATGTAGTATAAAAATTGGATCATTGAAATGGAAACATCTCAAGCAAATAATTAGTTAATATTAGTTGATATCAGTAGAAGCCATAATTTGTTTATAAATATATAACATACATATTTATACTATGTATACATTTATGTATGTATGATACTATATATTTTTTCATTTCTATATTATAAACTCAGCGCTAAATTTTTTCTCTTTCCGTATTCATCACTTCGTGGGCAAAAATGACAGCTAAAGGAAATAGTTGTTTTTAAAAAATGATTGATAAATCCAAGAAATCTTAATATAACAATTTACCATTTCTTCCCAAATAGAAGCTCTAACAGGAAAATGTGAAAGAATAGCAAAATGAATTATTACACGTGATCAATTTTTAAAGGTACTCTGCTAGAATATTCATATCTCTGCAGTATCTGGCTACAAATATGGCTTTGCTTCATTTTCAGTTTTCCAAAGACTCTGTTTTATTCATATCATTGCCATAAGTGCTTTATTTGATTTTGCAAGGATATTGTTTAACTTTTTCAAGATTTTTCGTTTGTTACGGCTTTACAAACTGGCTAAAAACCAAGAAAGGGGAAGTGTTATCTTTAAAATCTAGGTTCACTTAACCATTATGAAGGTCAAAAACAAAGTCACTACCTGACATAACAGCTGTAAACAATACATATAAAAGAAACATTCTCATTTCACGGGAGCGAGCAATAATGCAAATTAATAAGTTTATGTTCGTAAACAGATCCTCTACTGGAATATAAATTAGGAATGTATCTTAATAAAGAAAAAAAATAAGAGTTCTTTTTCCTCATGTAAGTCTTTTCATCTAGCAAACTGCAAAGAATAAAACCCCGCACACCAGCATCGAAAGCAAATTATTTTCATAGGTATCTGATTGGGGCTCACACACCTTTCATTTGTGTTTCCAAACGCAGGGCTTTACAAAAGAAACACTTTTTGGTCCAGATGGCCTTCTAGAAGGCTCCCTGAGAGAACTCAGAAGTCTCTCTAGCCAAAAATCTTGTTTCCGCTTATTCAAGTGCCAGAAATCCCACTGCCGCTCTTTCACGCAGATCAAATAACCCATCTACAGATTTGGTCGTTGTCTTTGTCAACTGAAAGGGTTGATTCCACTAATAGACAACAGTGCCCTCCCACACCCAGGCTTCCTCCCACCCACAGCCTTCTCTGCTTCATTTGTAAGCAGGAATACTAAAACCAGAGCCAAGTGATTTCTAGAGAAAATGAAAGTTGAAGGGACATAACTCTACTTTTGAGATTCTCACTCTGCATTTCTCCCTTTATTCCTATGTTTATTTAATATTTTTAGAACTATATGCCATAATTTTGACTTTAAAAAGTCAAATTCTTAAAAAAGCTGAGGAACTGCCAATGATGACTTTAAAGTTAATTTGATTAACAACAAATTGCAGATTTCGAAACATTTAAAGTAAGGCAAGACAATTCTAGTGCCAATCATATTGCATTTCACATAGTTTTAGTGGCAAGTGGCTGGTCTAGAATTAGAGGATAAGAAATTTTGTATATAGCTTA